TGCGCATTGGAACCACCTTAATAGCAATGAATTTGAGCTTTTTGAGTTATGGCAGTCTTGTGTTAAACTAGCAAAACAAAGACATGTCCACAAAAAAACCACTTCAAATGTTCAGAGCACCTTTATTCACGATAGCTTTGTTCGTAAAGTACAAATAACCCAAATAGTTAAATAAAAGTATTTCCATATTATCCTGGAATACTTAACCAGCAGTGAAGGGAAGGAACAATTAATATGTTCAACAATTTGCATAAATCTCTGGAGAATTATGCTAGTGAAAAAAACCCCAATCTCAAAGGTTACATACTCTCTGATTACATTTATATAATATTCTTGAAATAATAAAGTTATAGAAATGTAGAACAGATTACTGATTGCCAGTGCTTAAGGAGAGGTGAGGAATAGAAGGGAGTGGGTGTGACCACGGAAAGGAAATATCAGGTATTCTCTTGATGAAAATTTTCTCTATCTCAGCTGCACTAATGTCAGTATCTTGGATAAAACTTTTTTTTATTTGAAAATGTTTTATTTTTAAGAAATATTTTCTTGGATTTAAGGAGAAAGTTTACACAGCAGATTACATTCTAGTGTGACAATTTCTACACAAATCATTCAGTAATTTAGATCATATTTCTCACCATATGCTATTCTTTTTCCTTCATTGATTTTTGTATCATGCATACACATTGTGCTTCATTCATATACATTATGTTTCATACAGCTATTCATATGTAAAATATTATTCTTAGTATTCTTTTTTGTAGCATTTCTTCTTCTCTAGTTTCCCTGTGTCTTTACCCTTCTTCTCTCTTTCCTTCACAATAATTTTTTGCCATTTGGTCTCCTAGATAAGATTTTTTTAAAAAGGTGCTTACAAGTGCTATTTTCTTTTTGAGCCAAGTTTTTCTTAATCTAAATAGTAACTTCAAATAATAATTTTGGTTTAAGGTTCAAAATGTGTCTCAGGCCAGTAGTCTCTCCTCTCAGCTAGTCCAATAAGTCATGACTTCTTGAGAATTTTATTTGTCCTGTTTTTTTTCCCATTGTGTCAGGGTCTGTCTCTTGTCATCCTGGTCATAACAGCTGAAGTGGTGCCGGAGTACCGATTGGTCCTTCCTGTCTCAGGGCAGATAAAGTGATGTCTTGTGTAGACTAGGAGTTCTGTATTCTACTTCGGATCTTTTCTCTTTTGTTTCAGTCAGGTAGAGACCCATAGTTAGATAGGGTGATATAGTTCTGCAGGACACTACCACTGAGAGCAACGGAGTAAAGGATGTAGGAGAATTTAAATTACTGCTTGCAACTTCATGAGCATATATAGTTAGTTACTTAAAGAAAAGAAATTTAAAAACCAAACCAATGAATAGCATTCTCAGTGTAAATATTACATACAGCAGGTCCAAGCATTATGATTGAACCTAAAGAGAGAAAAAAGAAGGAGCTATGGTCGGGTGGTGGGTAAGGAATTGTGCTGCCAATCCAGAGACACCCAGTTTGTATCCATTAGCTGCTATGCCGGAGAAAGGTGGGCATTTTCATCCCATGTGAGTTTTCTGCCTCTGAAAACCTGCTGGAGGGCCAGTTTGAATCGATTCAGACTTGAGAGGACATAACAAGAATGCACTAGAGCAGTGCTGCTGGAAAAGGAATATTTTAAATGTTTCATTTCAAAATCAAATCAATTCTCTTTCCTTATACTCTTTCACTGAAGCTATAATTTCGTATGCTTCCTATTAGAATCGTGATTATCATACAGCTTTTTGTTTTCCTTAGAGTTCCTAATTGTCTTTCATTTTTATTGCCACCCAAAGGCACATGTAAATAGCGTCTAGGTTTTTAATTACACAAGCTTGTTATGGAATTTGTGTTCTTCATCAGGCTATTCATCATCCAGCCGCCTGTTGCAATTATGACTTATTGTTTTCTTCATTCTTGGTCACTTTAATAGTTGTCATCTACGGTTTCTTTCAATAATTACAGATGCCAAGGCCCCACAGCAGACCTAGTCTATTCAATTTTTTTTACACGGGGTGTGGCTGGGGTATGTGTATCATTTTTCTTTTTTAGTTGTGATTTGAGTGAAAGTTTCCAAAGCAAATGGCACATTTTATTTTATAACATTAAGTACAATATCCACAGTGTAATTGTGCTTTCCTCACATTCTCCTAGTAATTTTCATTGCTATCAGTCCTTCCACTCTTTCCTGCGTGCCTTTATCATTTTGGGCAAATATTGATCTTTTTACCTTATATAGTGAGTTATTCCACAGAGTGAGTGCTTCCCTGGTGTCTATAATTTTATAAAAATACAAAGCTCTCCAAATGATTTTGTTGATCAGTCAGGTGTAGGAACCACCATCTAGGTAATTCTTAGAGTTGTAGCATTGATAACTTTTTTTTTAATAATAGGAACTATAGGTACTGTTTACTGACTTCTTCTATGATATAGGCATTGTTCTAAGGATGACTGCATGGTCTCACATAATCTTAAAAAAAACCTATATGAAGATATTATTATTATCATCTTCGTTTTAAAGATAAGAAAACTGAGTATCAGAGAGGTGAACTCACCTCACTTTCAAGGGTCAAAGTTAGGATTAGAACCCATGTTTGTCTGACAAAAAAATCTTCACTTTTAACAATGAAGAAACTTCCTAGTACATTAATTTTGAAAATTAATAGACTCAATATTTCCTTGTAAAACTTTGGCAAAACTTGGTGTTGGATCCAGATAAAAATATTGTGTATTGACAACATATTTTTGGCTAACTTTTCGCATCTTTTAATCAATGAAGCCAGGTTATTTTTCTGAGTTATCAAAAGTATAAGTAATGGATCAAGGATCAAGTGAGAAGTCTCAGATTTCTATTCAATACTGAATGATTTGGATGCCATAGAAATGAATTACAAATTCTACCAACAGATATGCTAGGGATTTCTGAACGTTTCTTCATGTGTGTGTTTGCCATTAGAATGTCTTCTTTGGTGAAGTGTCTATTCACATCCTGTGTCCATTTTGTGATTGGGTTGTTTACCTTTATCTTGTTGAGGTGCTGGAGTAGTCTCTAAATTTTAGATATGAGTCCCTTATTGGATATATCATTACCAAAAAATTTTCCCCAGTTCGTAGCTTTCCTTTTTTACCCTTTGGAGTATATTTTTGAATGTACATAGGGATGTGATTCTTAGAAGGTCCCATTCTTCTATTTTGTTCTCTCCAGGTTGTAGGTTTTTCATTATGCTTGAAAGGCTGTTTCTGTAAATTTTCGTTAAAATCATAATTAAAATAAAAATTTTATTGGGGAAAAAAGTGTTCTCCTTTGAGTACCTCTAGCAAAGATACTGTCTACAGGCTATCTATGATTTTTCCTTCCATATTTTCTAAGGCTTCCACTAAAACAGATAATTAGGAGTAAGATGTACTAATTTTGAAGCATTTGTAATTGAGTTATGGCTGTTAGAAAGAAGACTAATGTGCAAATAGCTTGCTCATTGTGGAAGCTAAATACTGAATGCAGTATTTCCCCATATTAGAATTTACATAAATTTTACTGAAAGTACTATATGATAAAACTTATTTTAAAAACTTATTAAGCATAAAATAAGATTCAAAGCTATTTACTTGTAACAAGAATGCCCTAATAGCTCTTAATGTTTTGATATGGATCTATCTTTAAAATCTACCAGGTGGGGAAAAAAAGAGTTAGTGTAGTATGTAGATAAAAAAAAGTATATATAGTATTCATATTTAAAAAAGGGAAAATAGAATGCTTATACTTGATGTTAAATATACAAACTCCTAAGTATTTCCTAAAGGAGACACAAGAAGAAAATAAAAGAAACATTCCCTAGTAATGGCCACAAGAACAGTGTTCAGAATGCAAATTTAAATTGGTAATGAAATATGCCAAATCACTACACATACATATACACATATATAATGGAATTATGGATTCTGTTCTGGATTAGGTTATCATATGCTTTCATATTGTATTGTTGTTCTTGTGTAATTAAAAAACCCAAAGCAATTCTGCTAATTAAGCTTTCCCTTGCCAGGAGTGTACTTGGATCTCTGACAGTCCCTAGTTAAAGCCTAGTTTGTGGTTTTTGACAGCAAACCAAGACCCTCTTGTTTGCTTCTCAAAAACTGGCTGGTTTCAGTCCTTGGCATTATTCTGGGGAGCCCCCATCCCAACAAATCACCAATTGTCTTGTCTGTGAGTTAAAGTTGTGCCAGACTTTTCTTGGTTATTTTTGGTTTGTGATAGCACGTTGTAATAGCAGTGATGAAATGCCTGTTTGGTTTTCACTTACAACAGACTATTTTAGAAAACGAAATAGGTAGTATATAGAGATGAATGTATATGGGCAAAAGCAAGTAAATAAAACAGTTTCAACTGACATATGTAATCTGGTCATATATTTTTATTCTTCCATTTATTGCTTCCTAATTAGTGCAGGACTCAGAAGATACTAAAAATACTACAGACAAATGACACTTTATAAAATAATGCCAAGAATGTACTCTTATAATAGAACTTGAAATGAATCTTGGTTAATACGTTTGTAAAGTTTTACTTCTTTCTGCTGGCAATATTTATGAGTAAGAGGCTGAGACTGAGATCTTCAGCACTTTCATTATTAAATCTTCTTCATCTATCTCCCTTTTTGTTCCCCTTTACTAGAAAAGATAGGGTTGAAGAAAATTCTACCTGCTGAGTACAACAGTTTTAGGAAGTCTTAGAGTCATTTGACTTTACAAATCCATCACTCAAAGAACCTAGTTTTTATAATCCTCACATCTTGTTGAAGCCCTAAACCAACCTTAAAGGGAAATAATAAACCAAGCAAAAGCCAAATTCCCCACACTCAATATTTGGAAATGTTATTTCCTTGTACGTTTTACCAGCCCAACAAGGAAAATGGGCAAATGCCTGTCTGTGACCTTGAGAAAGGGAGAGGTTAAATAGGAAGTGTAGAGTATTGAAGATCATCCCCTCTATGGAGACCTGTAAAGGAGAACCAGGTAAGTGTTTGTGGAATTATGGCAGATGGTGATTGAAGAAGTCTTGGCAATTCGGAAAGGGGGGGCGCACACGAAAGCAATAATTTTGAATGTTTGACATTTGTTTTGAAACTACCTTACTACCCTTTACCATCTGTCTGTTATCCCTCCTAACACCCACCTCTGTCTTCTCACAGGGCTCCATTGTCTGCAGTTCCTGTTTCTCAGGGGCGGAGCTGTGGGAGGCAGCCATGGGTGCCATAATAGGCACCTGCGGCCAGCACAATGGGCTGTGGGTGCTTGTGGGAGAGACAGATTGATGTATTGTGCATGGGGGAGGGGGGCTGTCACTTGAATCCATGTGAACCCAGGCTTTAGGGGCAAGGGAGATTGACAGCTTTTGTAGGTTGCATTTCTTTTTCAAAGCTTGGCTTTAATAGACAGTAAGTTTGGGGCCCCAGGCTTTCACTCCCATAATTCTAACAGGGCAATCACGAGCATTCAGCATTTCTCCCCCCCCCCTTGTTACGCATTAAATGATTTCAGTAAAGGAATGTGCAGCATTAATTAGAATTTGTTAGCAGATACCAAGGGGAAAAGTTTCTTCACAACAACTATAGGAGGTGTCATTTGTACAAAGACTTTTTTGTTTTCATTCCCCATTACATTATCACTGCAATATGTAAGGTAGTGATTCTTTTCATTTAAATTAAGTGGAAAGCTACTAAATCTTGTTTTATTCTCCAAAAAGAATAAGGTCCTTAACACTTATCTTTCAACTTCTTTCATTTCCGAAGCTTGATGTTTACTTTTGCTTTCAGTCGGACCCATTTACTGGTCTCTGTGGTTGTGTATCCAGTTTTGTGTACCATTTAGCTCGTACAATTACAGGCGATCTACTACTAGTAAGATCAGGATTGTTGCCAGGTGAAAATTGCTACCAATAATATTGGAGATCAGTGACACTCCAGGGCCTTTTCCCTAAGTGGTACACTCAAAAAAGGCTCCAAAGCAGAATGCATGCGAAAGTTTGCATACTAACTTAATCTCAGTCATCATCTTCCCCTGTCTTGATATTTAACTTTAGTCATGCCATCACATTTCTAGAAGAGTGGGGCAGCAGCCAAGGACTATTTTTCCCCATAGAAATATCATTGCTAAATCATGTCAATATTTTTAAAACACCAAAAGTGTAGCATCATTTCCTTAGGGCTAGCAAAGTGACATTTTGTGTGGATTTTAAAAGTTTGCCTCTGTTGCTCTTTTTCTTTAATTCTCAAGAGACTAGATCTACATGGGAACAATTAAGTACACTATTTGCCATCTGGGGAACCAGTGAAACATTGCAAATTTTTTAATGTGATTTTCCTAACACTTCTTCCATATACAATCATTTCCCTAGTGAAAGACAGAGGGTAATTGAATTCAATTTTTTTTCTCATTCAATTGTTTTATTTAAATGTGTTAAGGGCAACAGTGAATAATATTGATGAAGCCTACTATTATTTATCAGAAAGAACATATTCTCACACAGTTGTCTGGCTATGTCTGTGATAATCATTTGGTGCAATGGTTTTAAAAGTAGTGGGGTGATAATAATTAGGGTGTATGACTCAGAAATTTCAATGCTGGATTCAACATTTCACTAGGCAGGGCATGAAAATTGCCAACCGGGGCTAGTCAGCTCTAAGTACTAATTAACTAATTAATCAGGTGCTGAAACCAAGTGAATGGAGGATCCCAGCCAGACAACTCCAGCCCAAGCAGAGGGTTGTGCTCTTTAAAAACAGTGCAGTCTTTCTTCTTGGTTTTTAACCCAATCAACAATGAGGAGGGAAAGTAGGATATGGTGTCCTACTGTCAGTCACTTTGGTCCAAGCTTTTTAATTAGAGAAAATAAACTAAAAACATGTGCCTCTGACAATAACTCTCAGGCACCCTATGCAGGACATCCATTAAGGCACTAACAGAGTCAGGGTGCCCGTTGTGTGTGCTGCTGTGTACATGTGTGCACACCCTGCCTTAAAGCTTTTTCTACTATATGTTTTAACACAGAAGACTAAGAAACATACTATAGTTCTCCTTTTGGACTGATCTTAGGTCTTTTGCCTCATCTCTCGTTTATGTAAATGAGAAGAGTCCAATTACACATATGGAAAAAGGGTTTAATGAATCGTGAAAAAGCCTGGTTTGGAGCAAAAGGCCTCAATCCCCTCTTCTCCGTCTCCTCCTCAGTCTTCTCTTTTAAATTTAACGTAGACCCATGTATTTCATTTGGGGAAGATGGCAAAGGTGACTGATGAGCTAACTTTCTGTCTGAATCTTCACACTTGGGAATTGGATGACACTCTCCTAGAACATGTAGCCTCCTTCATATTTGGAAGGACTTCTGGGGACTTGGCAAAAATCTACAACCAAAATTGCAAAATAATTTTCTCCCTCTTAAAAAAAAAACAATTAAATATCCCCTCCTCCCATTTGTGATGTTATTCTTAGCTCAGTGCTCATTTTTCTTCTCTTAAAAAAAGCTCTGTCCTATGAAAAATAAACAAACTAAATTAAAAAAATTTTAAAAAATGAATATTAAAAAAAAGCTCTGTCCTGAGATTGCTTGTCTAGGAAAGATTATCTTTATAAGGGAGTTGTATTGAGCCCACGGGGGGGGGGGGGGGGGGGGGGTAGGGTGGGATATAGTAGTATCCTACAAGTTTTCATTTATTACAAACTTTTTTTAATTTAAAAAGCCAATTTTTCGTGTGATTTGCTTGGCATTAAAAAGTTTTAATTAGCTCAAAATGCAAGAGTGTTAGACTAATAAGGAAGTTTTTCACTTCTCTCCTAAAAGTAACTGCTACCCTTCTCAGTAAAGAGTAGAACATGCCTTCGGCTTTCTTTGCCCTTCTTTATGTGGGAAAAATACACAAGGTGAGACAGCCCGTCCGATTTTTAGTTTTGCCTGACAGAACAGGAAAAAGCCTCGCAAGAACAGCGAGGAAAGTGTGCCATCTGTGCCCGCGCACTTAGAATGTAGAGCCACAGAGGTGCTCTGCGTAGATCGCAGCAAAGTTCTGTAGTGGAATCCCCAATTGCTAGTGTCTCCTAGGAGTCGCCCCGGACTCCCTTCCAGCACACTTGGGGAAACCGAGTTCAGGGGTAGGTGGAAGGGTTCTCCTAGCCTGACTTAGGGGTGGGGGCGGTTGTCATCCTTTCTACTAATCACTACTTTGGTGCGCAGAGCACACTTCTCGGGGCACCGAGGGCACCACGGGGTCACCTCATCACAAGAGCAGTGCCCGCGTCCCCTCCCTGAGCGGCACCCTGCAAGTGATCGACACCATGTAAGTTGCCCCATAATCCTCTCTGGCAGCCTAGGCTGTAAAATTTGATCAGCTCATTGGAGGAGACGGACAAGTCGTCCAAATGTGTGAAGAGCAGCCCGAGTGGTAGACAGGCGGCGCGGAGGTAGCGCGAGGCGGGGTGGAGCGCGCCGCACGGCGCGGAGAGTGGAGCTGGAGCCGGCGGGCGGGGTGAGCTCTCGGAGGCGCGCACCTCAGCGGTTCGCCTCGGGCCAGAGCCCGCCCGCGGCGCCGAGCAGCAGGAGGAGGGCCGCGCCAGAAGGGCCGTGCAGCGCAGGCGAGCGAGAGCCCACGATGGAGACACCGCCGCGGGAGGACGAGGAAGCGGGCTCGGAGCGCTTGTCCGCCAAGGGCGAGCGTCCGAGCTTCCCCGAGGCCGAGGCCACTGAGGAGCCGCCAGGCCAGCTGCAGGAGGAGGCGGCCGCCGAGGCGACGGGGTTCCGGCACCAGCAGCAGCGGCTGTGGCATCTCTTCCAGCTCTCAGCCACGGCCGTGGCCCAGCTCTACAAAGAAGCCGGGTGCCAGCAGCCTGGGCTGTCCCTGTGGGACCCGTTCCAGAACGCGGCCGTGGCGGTGACCAGCCTCTACAAGGAGAGCGGCAGTGCCCACCAGCGAAGTTTCGAGCTGGGCATCCAGCTGGGCTGCCAGCGGCGCCGCCAAGACGTGCTGGAGTGGGCTCAGAAGGGCCGGAGCATCATCCGCCGCGAGGACCTCATCAGCTTCCTGTGCGGCAAGGGCTCCTCCGCCCCGGCCCCCACCCCGCCGCGAGCCCCGGCCCGCTCGCCCTCGAAGCCGCCCGCCGAGGCCGGCTCGGCTGTTGACGTCGACCTGCAGCCCTTCCACGAGGCCATCGCGCTGCACGGCCTCGACGGCGCCATGGCGGCTGTCAGCGTGCGCTCGCCGCCCCACGGCGGCCTGGGCCCCGCGCCCGGCAGGTTGAGCAGCGGAGCCGACCACAACGACCACGACTACCACGTGCGGAACCCCTTAGACTCTGAGGGACTGTTCCAGGGTCAGGGTCCTGATGGCTCAGGGTCCCGCAAGCGCCCCCCGGCACCATGGGATGACAACGACGTTGAGGATGACCTCACCACCGCGCACTCCCCAAAGCGCAACCGGATGATGTGAGCGAGCCGAGGCCCTCAGCAGTTCGGGACCATGGCCTCCGGTCACCATCTTGCTCGAGGCCCAGTCAGCCCCCTCAGAGCCCGAACGCTGCCTACTTACCTACCTATGTTTCTTTTCTAAGTTAAACTGAGCTGTCTGTTGAGTTTGCTGCAAAACTTTCTAAGAGTTCCATAAGAAGCTTCACTTGACTCTTTATAATCTCAGCCGAAGAAGAAAAATACCATCCAGTAGTGAGCGGGACTGGTTTTTTTGTCAACCTAGGGATCCGTTCAAGTGACATTTCATAGCACCTTGCACCATTGCTGGCGCTTAATAAAAGTTTATTGAACTGTACATGTGTTGTGATTGCAGATTCTTACCAGAACCTGGGACGAAAGGGGTGTTCTTGGTTAGAAGGCCGGTTTCAACCACTCATGCTGAACCAGAACCTACATTCTACCCCGATGGCCAGGAAATGTCCAAAAATGCCCTGGGATCTTAGGAACGTAGATTCTGATTCGGTCTCCTTGGCACATTCCTAGCACTTGGGGGCCCTGGTTGTCAAGAGATTTTGATCCTTTTGATTCATTGGTCGGTCCGTTCAGTAGGTTTGGTTCATTTGTTATCTCAAAATGTGAGATTTGACATCTATGGGGAATCTCAAGGTTCCCAATTGTAGTCCGCCATTCCACACACCTACGTTCCAGAAAGAAACTGCAAGACCCGCCCATGGCAGTTGTTACTGTTACATACTGTAGACTTGGAGCGCGTCCAAGCTGAGGAGCTCGTGTTCAGAGGCTGTTTATCGCACAGGAGGAGATCGCTCATCATCGTCCCACCCGGCAGCAGATGCAGCAGCTGGTGAATTCAAATCTCTCGCCATTGGGGTGGCAGGGCAACCCCTTGCCACTAAGCCACCACTGTTTTTATTCTCAAGAAGTTAGTTTCGGTGATTATTACAACACTTAATGATTTTTCAAGATGTTGTAAAAAGATGCTATGATGATTAGGCATGTAAGAATTGACACTGAGCCGTTTCAACACCCCCTTTCTTAGGAAAACTAAACCATCTATTGAGATTCAGTTGGGAGAAGTTGCTATCCTTGGTGCCCTAGTTGAGCTTCTGCTAGGAACGTAAAAATTCCTTTTGTTGAGATTGCATAGTTTTAGAGATCTCTCACTTCAAAGCAGAACACTAGAAGTTAAAATTATTTTATTGGTGGTGTTTAGGGGTACAGCGTACAGGTCTTACAGGTCTTACACTGTAAGACCATGGGTTTTTTTATTAAAAGTCCCAATGATAAAACCCCTGCTCCATGAATTCTCATAGATTTGGGCAGGCCATTTAATGTCTGTTGGCCTCAGTTTTTACATCTGTAAAATGGAACTGTGATCCTCAGGCACTCGTGTGCATTAAAGTATGTCAAAGTTTCAAGTGCCTAGCACAGTGCTTGGCAAATACAGGTGCTCTGTAAATGTCCTTCCTTCCCTATAAATGGAAGTTAGTGAAACATTGCAAGTCACTACATTCTACACATTTAAAAAGTTGATTAATTTCAGGAAAATGGAAGGGACTCATGCTTGTGAACCACCCTACTCAATTGCCATATAGTCACTTCTGACTCATAGCAAAGACAGAGTCGATTTGCCCCAGAGGGTTTCTTCAACTCTAGATCTTTAGGGACACAGACCGCCACATGGAGAGTGGCTTTTAGTTCAATCCCACTGCCTTTTCGGTTTGCGGCCAAGCACTTAACCTCTGTACCACTAGGGATCCTACAGCTTCTAAACTACTGAAATCGAATTGAAACACAACTAATTACTTGTTATTTATTAAAAGTGTGTTTAGCTCCTACATACCCAAGATCTCTCTATTCAGGATGCTAGGGCAGCCTTGGGTTGCCTACAGGAGGAACTTTGCAACCAGGGATAGTGAGCTACCCATTTCCTTTCCTTAAAAAAAGGGGGGGGGAATAACAACAAGAGGAGGATGAGGGTAAAAGAATTGGGATCCAAAGGTCCTTCTAAATAGGATTGGGGTGGAGTGGAGGTACAAAGGAAATTGGGATGGATACTGTTTGTGTATGTGAGACAGAGAATAGACCTTCCCTGGATCCTCTAAAACCAGTGCACATAATATTAATAGATTCACAAAATCTTCCCTTTGGCTTGATACCTATGTTTCTATTTTATTCACCAGAGTAGATACATAATGGACAAAAACATTAAAATCTTACAACATAAATGGAATTCCCTGACAGAATCAGAACTTGCAATTGGGCACTCCATGGAATATTTATGGAGACACTGTGCTAGGTCCTGAGGAGGAATCCCAAGGAGCAGAAATTCAGTCCTAACCCTCAGAGAGTTCGTCCTTGGCTTGAAAGGGAAATGAAGTAGGGAACCAAGCACTTGTAGCAGCAGCAGAATTCAGAAGGCCAGCAGCTTCTGCAGGAGCCCAGAAGATGGGTAAGAAGGGTGAGCCCAGGTGATTCCAACTAGAAAGGATAACTAACAGCATCTGAGGTTGGTAGGGAGGAACAAACCATAGTAGAATGGGCCTCCAGTACCTGATCCCCATCTCTAGACTCCATCCTGAGGCAGGAAGTGAGCCCACCCCATCTGTGCTTGCTTGAGGAAAGCTGGCCTGGCTGGGCGGCGTAGGATGCTCAGATGCTTGGTATGAAGACCTTGGACCAAGCACTTCTGGGAAAGCCACATAGGATTTTTGTTCCTGGAGATGTTACATTGATGGGGCTTCCTCATCCTCTCCCTCCCTCACCTCATCCCACCAGACAATGTTGGAGGCATCTCTAATTTGCGAGCTTCTCAAACTTGAGAAAACTTTCACTTCTAACTTGTAAGGCTTGTCTAGAAGAAACAAGGCACCCCTGCTCCAGGCACTTCTTTCTGCTTGGCTCGTCTAGCTGAGTCATCGATGTCTGAGGCCACTGGACTGATGACACCACTTTGGTCATTTTAAACAAGTAAGTAAGAGTTGAAAGGTGGCCTGCCATTATGGGGTTTCTTTGGCTGTTCTCTATCTCCAGTGTCTGGTATAGCACCTGACCTGTGCGAGTGCACAATAAATAATCATGACATGAGTGGAAGAGCAGACAGTCAATCCAGACCCAAACTCAAACTTGCTGCCACTTAGTTGCTTCTGAATTACAGTGCCATTCCACCAGCTTATTGAGGCTGGTGGCCTAGGGGTAAGAAGCTGTGCTGCAATCCCAGAGGCACATAATTCAAATCCACCCACAGCTCTGCAGGAAAAGGTTGGACCATCTCCTCCCATGCTGCCTCTGAAAAGTTGCATGGGTTGGTTCCAACCTGAGGGCTCATAACAAGAAGTCTTCTTTAAAAAAAAATATTTATTAAAATATTTTTAATCCATTGTTGGACATTTTCTTCCCAACCAATGCACCCTGCAATGCACCCCTTGTTCCCGATTATTCTCATAGATATAATGAATATATATTCCTTTTGGACAGTTCTAGCCCTCACCTGTTCTAACGGAAGTTTTCATTATGTATCTACTCTTTCCCCATTCTCTCCCCAGCCCCCTACCAAGCCTGTCCTATTTTATAACATCACTGTTGTACAGTATTTGTTCTTTTCAGTATTTGTTCTTTTGTGACAGAGATATTTCACTTAGCATAATGTCCTCAAGGCTCCCCTTGTTGTGTAATGTTATACTAATTAACTATTTTTCCATTCCTTAGTTGATGGGCACTTGAGTTGCTTCCATCTCTTTGCTATTGTAAATAACACGGCAGTAAACATGGGTGGGCATACAGCTGTTTGAGCAGCAGCTCTGGTTTCTTTCAAGTATATTCCCATTAATGGAATTGCAAAATTAAATGGTATTTCTATTTCCAACTTTTGATAAAGTGCCAGACCACCTTCAATAGTGGTTGTACCATTTTACCTTCCCACCATCAGTGAATGAGAGTTCCAGTGTCCTACAACCTTGCCAGCATTTGTTGTTTGCTGCCCTATTGAATTTTGCTGTTGTTGCTGAGACGAGATGCTATCTCATAGTGTATGGTGGACTCAAACCTCCAACCTTTCAGCTGTTGAGCACATTAACAATTTGTACAACCCATAAATGCCATCAGGAATGGCACCTGAACTTGACACCCTAATTTCTAGATGCAGTCACATTCCTAACTCTTGGATTTAACTTTTCACCAAGTATGGTCTGAGAGTTTTCATTTCCACTCCCCTACCTCCCATACACTGAAACAGAGTCAATATTTTTAACAAAGTGATATATGACCTTGTTAAACTATAGATTCTATTTCTACATTGCTGCTGTTGTTATTTTGTGCCATCAAGTAGGAATAGATCCACAGCAGAACTTCCACTGGGTTTTCAGAAGCAATAAACTACATGAGAGCGGATTGCCTATGGGTTTTCAGAAGCAATAAATTATATGAGAGAAGATTGCCTGTCCCTCTCCCACAGAGAAGCTGGTAGATTAGAACTGCTTGCCTGTCTCTCACAGAGAAGCTGGTAGATTTGAACTGCTTGCCTTTGAGATTGCAATGCAGCTTCTTATCACTAGGCCACCACAATTTGCTAATTCCATATACCAGGGGTGGTGGTGTTGTGGGATAGAAATGTAAATTCTCAGTAGGAGGCTGGACCTGAATGGATGAGTTCACTTATGAAGAACCTCCCCATGAACTGAATTAAAGCCTTGAGGGGAGAACACCTGGGAGTCATCCAGGAGGCTTTACAATTCTGATTAAAATCTGGACAATAAAATCTGGATCCCTTACCTCTCCCACTTACCTCTCCCACCAGTTGATTGTGAGATTTGTGACTGATTCAAGGTACTTACTTTAATTTGCTGACCACTGTTGAACTTTTTGTTCAGCCTGCAAATGAAGCTCCTCCTTTTGAGATACTATCTTTATTATCACTTTGCATATTTTACTCATCCCCCACCACCAGGGAGCACAGACTAAGGCAAAACTACACAGTGAAGTGAAATATTCTCAGTTTTTCTTCAT